GGGGGGGGGGGGGGGAACCTGGTATGGGCAGCCAAAAAGAAAAATAGAACGGGCATGGGCAGGTACGGGTGGCTGGTATGGGTACGGGTGGGTAGAGGTTCCTATCGGCTAACCGTGTAATACCTGATACCTACCCATTCCAACCCACCAACCCAGCCAACCCCCTCCCTCCGCCCCTCTCTCCCGCCACCACAAGTTCTAGGCCCAAATTGTTTTCCCGCTGCTTCGTCGAAAGTCCCAAACAGCTAATTTATTTATTTTTTTTCCGCCGCCGCACCGCTGCGTTGTTGAAAGTCCAAAAGTTTCCCGACTTCGAGTTGGGCCTTTCAAGTGGACCTTGCTCCACTAGTCACGAAATGCAAAGAAGAAAACAAAAAGACGGTGTATCTTCCCATGTTCCAGCGGAAGATTCAATCTCATTTTCAACATTTTGCGAGCAGTGGAGCGAGGCCCATTGCGTCCGGTCCCTTTCCATTCCCTGGTCCCACTATTCCCTGGAGTCTGCGCCCGCCGTTCACGTCCCCACCCGCCGTCCTCCTCACTGCCTGTAATTGTCCATCCTCCATAGCTTCCATGGCCGGCGTAGCCGGTGTGACCCAGCAGGAGGGCATTGCAGGTGTGATCGGCAGCTGCAGCAGGCGTGGCAGGACTCAGGAGACGGGCGCGGCCGGTTACAGGTGGGTGCATACAATTGTGGATGGGTACGGGTGGGTACAGGAAAAGAAAATCTGGGCTGCGTAGGGTATGGGTGGTTAACAAACAGTTTGGGTTCAGGTGGCTTTAACACGGAAGTGTGTGTGTGCATGTGCATGTGTGTGTGTTTTGTAGATTATCACCGAACCAGCCCCTGTTCCACCCGGATGAGTAGATCCAAAATCGAAGCAGCTTTACCTCTATTGTTGACAATTAAGCACACTGGAGATGAGTCAATCCAACAATGAAACAGTTCTACCTCTACGGCAAGTGACACAAAGCACAGTAGATCCGTTGTATCCCTTTCTTGACCATCTTTACTTTAGCTTTCTTTGGGATACCCCTTTTATTTTTTCTCGCAGCTCCCCTTTTACTGTGCCTCTCACGTACAAGGCTCGCCAAGTTGGTTGTGGTTGAGCGCCAGCTGCCCACATCCTGGTGTGCCATAACAGCCCACTTGCACGCTATGAAAGGAGGCAAGAGTAAAGGGGGAGGTATACTCCTGTTCATTTTTCCTCAGATCATCAGGTTACACTTTCTGTTCTCTTAATGATGCCCATTTGTATGAACTTACTAGTAGTACACAAGAGGAGGGAGCAAGGAAGAGGGTAGGGGGTGGAGTTGTATAGGAAGCGAGGGGCGGGGGAGAAGAAGGGGAAGAGGAGGGAAATGGAGGGCATAGGAACGGAACAGAGGAATGATAAACTTCGGAGGCCTCTCAATACTCACAGCTGGAGCTGACCAGTCTGGAATGGTGCAAGAGGGCAGTCAGTGTTCGGGTTGCGGGGCATTTTCAGTTGAGGAGCCGCCATTGCCTATGGTAAGAGCCCACCCCTACAGACCAGACAGGACCAGTTCGGGTGTGAAGTGTATCCAATTCTCGCAGTTGGCACGTCATAGACAGATGTCACAGGCTACGTGCCTCCTACATGCTAGGAACACAGAGGCATGTCGACCACAACCGTATACGAATTGCCATTCCAGCCTGTGTGTGTGTGTGTGTGTGTGTGTGTGTGTGTGTGTGTGTGTGTGTGTCTGTTCATCTGTGTGTGCGTCCCATCAGCCAACCCCCCCCTCCAAACTCATAGTCCCACACCAGCAGGCCCCGACCCCCAGAGCCCACCCCTAGACCCCTGTTTTGGAGTGTCCTCGGTGAGTGCAAAACAGGCCCACCGCCAGGAAGACCTTTTAGCTCGCCTGGCATACCCCGGGCGAGGCCCGGCCCAGGCGACTCGCCATGGTGCCCAGCCAGGTGAGCAAGGTGACCGAGTGTTTTCCTTGCCCGGAACTCGTATTCACTTAAAAGTTAAAACCACCACTACCTTTCTCAGTGTTGGGAAAAACGGGAGTATAATATTATATGTCACACCGCATTTTTAGGACGTCCCGAGGTGGCTCGGGTAAAAGAACATGTATGGGCCTTGTGGGCCCGCTTCACATCAATACTTAGAACAACGTATCCAACGGATTCCAACCACAAATGGGGCTAGTTTCAGGTTTAGATTTTTTAATCATTTTTCATGGTTTTTTTTTTTCCCCATTGTTTTGTTTCAATGCCCTGACAGTGAGCCAGGGCGCATTCCACGGGCCCTGACACTTAGTGACGGAGGGCACACACAAACTACTGCTCCTGATTATGTATCTACCCGCTATCCTGTCCTTAGGGTAGCTTAACTTCTTTTCTTTTTCGTTTTTTTTTCTTTTTTTTTCCATTGTTTTGTTTCAATGCCCTGCCAGTGAGGCAGGGCGCATTCCACGGGTCCTGACAGTTAGTCAAGGGGGGCACACACAGACACACTACTGCTCCTGATGATGTATCTACCCGCTACCCTGTCCTTTTGGTAGTTTCCCTTGTTTTCTTTTTTTGCTGGTTTCTGGACCTGACTGCGCCGTGCTGTTGTAACGATGGTTGTTTCCTTGTTTTGTCTTTTTTTTTCACTTGTTCCGAGTTGTTCGTGGATTTCGCCGCGCCTCCTTTCATTTTTGAATGCTACGCTTGGTTCTTTTTTTTTTTGGGGGGGGGGGGGGGAAGAGAAGTACCCAAAAAAAACGAAATGGGACCTAGGCTCAGAAAACTCAGCGCGCAGTGAAAATCAGGGTCAGTAAAAACAGGCTCGGAGATAGTGGTGGTTTAAACGAAGTTACGCCAGAACTACCTCCTCGAAAATCTGCCCAACCCTTGCAGAGTTTTGCAGACAGAAACCAAAAACAAAAACAAAAACAAAAACCAAAACAAAAACAAAAACAAAAGCTGTGGATGTTGGGTCATCAATCTACTCAACCAAATCAACCAACTGAAAAAGGGTGGGCCTCCTGGTAACTAGGGCGGTTGTAAGAGGTTGTGCTGGTTTGAAACTTTAAACAAACCTTCAGCTTCTGTTCCAGTTCTTCTATCCTAGCCTCAAGCTCTGTTGCCTCCTCTGCTGCCATTTCTGCCATCTCCTTGTCATTCATCAGCTCTGCCAGCAGCATAAACAACCAATTATTGAGTTATACCAAAAACTGTCACAAAATTGGCTTCAAATCTTTCAAGTCCAAATGCAAATATTCTCAAATACAGTCCTGTTGGGGGCACTTGAGGCAGAAGCAGGTGTTCTATGTTTGTTTGCAACGACTACCAACCAGCCAAGTTTAGAATGCCCCAAAATGGCCAAAATGGCCACGGTTTGCAAGCACATGCAAACCCCCAAAACCTCAGTGTGCCGCATCAGGATTCCATGGAGTGTTCATTGCTGGCGGCAACCTGAGGAAGCCTAGTCTCCCCCTTCCCCCACAGCCCCAACCCCTACACTCCCTCGGCTGGTCATCACAGCTAGGGGAAACAGGTCCTAGAGCTTGAGCCATCTCCGGTCCCACAGGCTGATGGACACCAGGGTACCTTTCGGTTACAAATGTCCTCGTCCCCAGTGGGGATCCCCCTTTAGGACATACACAGGGCACCCCTGAAACCCTTTGATGCTCTCACCCCCTTCAAATCCCATCCAAATGCTGCAGATACCCCCCATAATGACCCCAATAGAATGGCCTGTGCTCCTGAAGGACCTACGACTGCCATACCCCGGTGTGATATCCCAACAAAGATACCCCACAGGTCCTTGGGGTAGGCAGACAGTGGTCACTCAATCCAGTGGCCCAACAGGCCCCATCGACAACCTCCCCCCCAGTGGAAGGGGAGAATGGGAGACCCTACCCATAACCGGCCCCATTAAAAGATCAAAAAATAACAAAATGGGTAGGGTGCAGCTTGAGCTTGCATACCACATGGGGCTGATTTGCCAGTGCAGGGCTAATTTTCCAGTGCACCATAGAGAGTCAATTTCCCCCTTTGGTAAGGGTCAGACTTTCCCCCTCAGTAAGGGCCAATTTCCCCCTTGGTAAGGGCCGGTTTGCCAGTGGACTACACAGAGACCGGTAAAACCCGTAGCAGACCTACGAGTTACAATTATTGCCTGAGTTGGTGGCTCTGGACGGTGTCTGGCATGTTAATCATTCAGTCACACGGCAAGGTTCTCTCTTTTCATCTTTTATTTTTGTTAATTTGGAGAATTCTGGACCATTTCTCACTTTTTTTTTTCTTTTTTTTTTTTTTAAAGCCTGGGTTGTTGTAGAGGCCGGGGACCGACCCTGGTGGATACCATCTTAGGACTGCTGGAACGAATCCTTCCCAGCAGGCAACCTACCTAGTCTTCTTCTAGCCGTCAAGTCGGGAGTTCCCGAGGGAGGTGTGTCCCAGATGTAGTGGTATTACACTGGCGCCAATCACAGACCATCCACTAGCCAAGTCTGGACTCATGGCTCCCACTTATCCACGGCACCGATGGGGTCACCTACTGGTACTATCCCAGCGTTAATCAGCCAATGGGAGTCCTGATGCGCAGCGGGGGACCTGCCACCCTACCCTACCTCACGTCAATTCTCCTAGCGTACCCCTACAACTACTATTCTACCTCAATGACAAGCACTCAGGACAATCACCCTTCAGAGGGTGACATAGACCGAACAGCATGCGCGTGGCCCATGCTAATCTTCTCTGTATTGTTCCAATTTCAACGGATGTCCCGAAGTACAAGGTTCTCTCTTTTTCCCTTTCTTTTTTTTATTATTATTATTATTATTATTATTATTTATTAACAGAACCTTTCGGTTCTGTCTTCTGCCATTCTGGGGAGCAACAGTCCGGTTCCTATTCCCCCGGCAAGTCATAATTGAATACAAAAATTACTCACGCACGCTCCTCCCCATGATGGGTGGAATGTCCGAGTGGGCGGCATTGATTACTTCCCTGAGGAAGGATATACCACCCCTCCCCCCTGCCTAAGTTAGCCTATTCTACGTCAACCAGCAGTTTAACTCGTAAGCCCGGTATATTCTTTCTTGTCAGACCTTTCCTTAAGAGCCTGCCTTATCACACATGAATTTCAAGAAAGACTGGTACTGTCTCCGTTGTTTACTAGGTCCTTTGGCGGCCAAACCACAAGTCATCATGCCAAAGATTCCCAAATGTGTGTGGATTGATAAATCCAAATAATCAGAAAAAGGAAAAAAGGGAAAAACAGAAAAGAGAGAACCTTTYCKWWCSGWWMGRAAAGGTTCTCTCTTTTCTGTTTTTCCCTTTTTTCCTTTTTCTGATTATTTGGATTTATCAATCCACACACATTTGGGAATCTTTGGCATGATGACTTGTGGTTTGGCCGCCAAAGGCGCGGCGGCCAATTTGAGTCCAATTATCAGGCCAAACAATCAAAGACTTTTCTTTGTCCTTTTCCCTTCATGCCTACCGTTCACCAGGTAACTGTCTGTGGGAAGACCATAGCGGTGTGTCTGAAGTGTGTTTTCTGGCAGTGGCAAACATTTCTTTGTTCCATGGGGGCTTTGCTGGCTTTTGAGGAGCTGTGAATCTGCCGTCTGCAGAGCCTTCCATCTGGTGTGGGTTGCCGCTGCTTAGCTTTCCATCACAGGTGCCCTCGACAGCACTGATTTGGTTGTGTGGCAGTTGTTGGTGCCCACCTGCAACCAGGGTGAAGGTGGATTATCACTAAAAGTATCATCTGGTAGGGAACGCTCAGTCTATCAAGGGTTCATCCTCCTGAGGAGTCGGTAAAACTCCAATGAAATCACCTCTCACGGTCCGCCGTTTCCTGTCCTTTTCTCCATTGCTGGCTGCGGTTCACCGGGCAGTTGTCTGCCACAATATAACACGTGCATATCGTACTGCACTGCCTGCTTCTGCATATTTTCTATGTATCGGCAAACAGAACTGCCTGGTGAACCGTCCGCAGAGAGGGAGAAGAGGACAACAAACGAAGGGCTGTGACAGAACGTTTCATTGAAGTTTCACCGACCCATCATGCACTTAGAGCATGTGTGCACGATTATTTCAAATAAGCCTCCACACTGTGAAGACGAGCTGCGACCTACCTCTGGACTTCAAAGTTCAAACCCAACTAAACCCCACTTCATCTCTAAGGTAGCGTGGAAGCACATCACTCGCAAAAGAAAGAACAGTGGGGGTTGGTCATTTTAGATCCAGAGCAGCAGCTCAAAGCGCTCCAAATGAAGTGGGTGATGAAGTTGATCACCCATCAGAAGTTGCCATGGGTACCGCTGCCCCTAGACCGAATTAAACCCAAAAAAAAAAAACGTACTCCCTCTAAAATGTCGGGTTTATTTGGGATAATGTGTAGCAACTGGGCCAAAGTAGGCAGAGAGGAAAGAATGCCAACAGACGCTGCAGACGGATCAAGAGAGGGCTCCTACTGGGGCCAATTGCTTAAGCTCTTGAAAGAGATCCTCCCAGCCAGAGTCAGGGAGACTCGCACAAGCGAGGAAGTACTTTGTCAGCCCCTCTTTTCCAACCCGAGAATTAAGGATGTTCACGGGAAACCGCTCACTCTCACGGCAAGGAAACCGGAATGGGGAACTTGGGTGCAGCATGGAGTTCGGCAGATCAAACATCTCTGGGTGGAAGACAAGCAGCAATGGAAGACGGCCAGGGAACTCAGAGCGGAACTGAAGGGAAGCCACAGACTTGATGTCCTCATATCTATTCCAGCGGACTGGACAACGATGCTGTGAAAGGGTCCTCAGGGGGGTCTAGGAGACTGGGCTACAAGGCGACAGGAGGAGAACCCCACAAGAGGCCTTCCGAATCTGGAGTCAGGAGCCCTCAAGGAAGGAGTGGTTGAATGCCGACATGTATACCATCATGAATCCGGGAAGCACCACTGGTCTCTTGGATCAATGAACCAAAACACCGATCGCTATCCAACTACACCTTACGCGCAAAGTAAGGCGCGAAGCGGTGAAAGTCGCCAGCTCAACTGGTGGAAGTCATTGGTTTATCATAGAGACGATTTCGGGCAAAAGAAATTCCCATGGTGTGACGGGCGGTGTGTACAAGGCCTGAGTACATATTCACCGCGGCATGCTGATCCGCGATTACTAGCGATTCCAAGGCACCTGATGTATACGAGGGTTCTCCTACTTTTGTCACAGCTTTCTTTTCTATAACACCTAAGATTGCTGTTCTTGCAAATATGTTACGTGTGTTTCTTTTTAGTTTTTATGATCCAACATGGCAAACAATCTTCTTTTTTTGCAGTATTGCTTCCATGATATTAGGAGCATTAGCCGCAATGGCTCAACACGGAGGCACGACGCGATGATAATTGCTAGGTTTATAGAACGTTGTACCCGTTTCTGGGCACTTGAGATCCTTGCCCAACCGATACACTGTTTTTCTCAAAGACCTAAGNCGATGATAATTGCTAGGTTTATAGAACGTTGTACCCGTTTCTGGGCACTTGAGATCCTTGCCCAACCGATACACTGTTTTTCTCAAAGACCTAAGTTTGTATTTAGTTGATAACGTAAGACCACATGAAGACCACAATAAGTGTATAATATGCCTTTAAAGACTTCACAATTTTCAGCCCATCCATTTCCGTCGAGGACCTGGAAGTGGACCCCGGGGAACGGGCTTGGAACCTCACAGGGGGAAGACTGCGGGTGGCCAGAAGAATTAATGTCCTGAACTACACTACTCGAATCGGCTACCGCCTGAGAAGCCGCCCCTACCCCTTCACCTGGATCGTTGTCCAAGCGCTGGGAGAACAGAGTGGGGGTGCCACCAGAACAACTACCAAGAATACCATGAGACCTGATCAACACGGTACACGTTGGACGGGTAAAGAGCATGCAGTGGTCAATAGCCCATGTGGCGCTGCCTGTAAATGCCTGGCCAAACGAGCGTAGGAGTCGAGCACAGAGGGACTCCTCCAATGCGTTATGCGTAGTCTGCCAGGAGGAGGTCCAAGAAACAATGCTACACTGTCCTCTGACATGTCCGGATCCAGAGGAGTTAGCATATGGGAGATGGCCAAGACCCTCTGGGGGCAGATTGCATCGACCTCATTTCCAGAGAATAAGGCCACCTTACTCCTAAGCGATGACCTCCCACGGGGATGGCAGCCATTCGGGAAGCGTATCTTTCAGCTTTTAAGACAGTACATATCATGGACTATATCTGGAAGAGGGGCTGTCAGATCACCATTGAAAACAGGCCAATGCACAGACAGGAGGCAAGGGAGATCTACCACAGTCTATTGGAAACAGATGTCCAGGTGCAATTGAAAAGGACACAGAGACAAATGCTACAGCATCCACCCAGAACAGGCTCGCGACTTGAAGGCCCGCTTTGTCCAAAGTGTTTTGGGCCGGGACAAAGTAGCAATTATCCAGGGCTCAAGGCCTCATTCAAATGGGGATTGGTGGGACCAAACTAGATCTTGAACGGAAGCTGGGTCCAAATATCCAACAAGAGGAAAAGCATACCCAGGTACTTAGCGTACTTACTGTATCGGAAGTTTGGAAGAGAAGCAGGACGTACTTGGCGGATAGAAGAAAAAGTACGCCACGGAAGGTGTAGGGTTTAGGGTTTACAAGGTTGAGGGTTTTAACTTTTAAGTTCTCAAAGGGAGGAAAAGGTGGGGTACTATAGAAGGTAAAACAGTAGGGATGAGGTTAGGCAGGAGAATTAATCCTTAATTACAGGGAATAGTCTAGGGGAAGAGATCCGCGTTAAGGATGAGTTACAGGCCTTCGGTCTCATCTTAGTTGCTCAGTTGTTCAGAACTTGTTCCTTTTTTCCGTTTGTCCTTTTAGAGAGGGGGAGAAGGGGGGGGAAAAAAAAGCAAAAAAAAAAAACAATGACCAAATGTGTTTGGTTCGCGGGAGAAGGCCAACCAATCCCCTCGTGTAGGGGAGACTCCATAGTATGCCCTTTCGCCCTCCTCCCCCACCCAAGAGCGGGGAAAAAAAAACAAATAAAAGAAGGACACAGAACGAAAATGAAAAATTATGCCGGGATAGAAGACCAGTTAACCAGAGGAGGAGGACAATACCCATTGCACCCTCAAGATCCTGTTCACATCTTCGATACTGCTCATATGCTGAAACAACCTGGCACACAAAGAAGGCATAACAAAACAACACATATGTGATCAATAATTATATGAAATTTGTAATCAATAATTATTAATTATTACTTATATGAAATTATGTTACAAAAAAGCAAATTCCATAGTTCATGAATTTATCAATTTTTCATTAAATTAATCAAATACTCTAGTTTATTGTGCGTTGAGACACCTGAGGATCCGACGGCTCGCATTATTTCCTCTCTTATCGTCTCGTCCCCCCGACTGCCGCTTCCGCTATGAACCCTTCTCACCCCCTGCCCACCCCCCTCCTCCAAATATCCTTCTGTTACTTTACCACATGCCCCTTCCCCACCCCAAAAAGCAAAAAGAAATTCCCCTCTTCTTTCTTTGCTGCTTCATCCTGGACCTCCTACTGTCTTCCTTTCTCTCCTCCTCCTCCTCCACCCAAACAAGCACACATCTATCCCACCCCCACACAAATCATGATCTGAAATCCATACCTCTTCGAGCTCAGCAACAGACTTTGCAATCTTCTGATACTCATTTGGATTACTTGCAACCTCTGGGTCAGCTAATCGCATCTGCACGCCGGTGAGAAGAAAGAGAGCGGCGGTGAAAGGGAAAGCACGGCAAATCAGGACCAAAATCAGTCTGAGAAAATGAACACAGCCTCGCATAGATGATAGAACACACCGCAAGTAAAAATGTAAATAAATAGTAAAAATAGTAAAGTATGCAACATACAATATAATTATATTATTACACTTTAGAGGCATCCATTTAATTTTTATTTTTATTCTTATTTTTTATTTTTTATTTTTTATTTTTTATTTTTTATTTTAATGAAAACCACGCTGCCACGCTAGGAGGGGTGATATGAGCACCCCCATTTAATTTGGTTCTCAGGAATGAATGAAATCTTAGGGTGTATTCACACTTGCTCTATCTTACATGTATCTGGTTGCATTTAGGGCTGGACCTGGATGAATATGACAGCAACAACGTCCACAAACAAGTAAAAAAGTCCTAGTGTGAGTACTCCCTTAGACTTCGAAGGACAGAGCCAACGCCTGGGTTCTATCAGACAACAGGAATGGCGGTGGTCTAGACATGACCTGTAGGGACTTAGACAAAGGGAGACCACATTTTCTCTTGCCTCGTTCTGTAGAGATCCTAATGTAATTTGATGTGTGTTGCAACAGCTCACATAGTAGGCCATACGTAGAAGGAGGCCCAGAGTTGCTGGGAGATTCCCGGCAAGAATGGGGTACGCCGAGAGGCAGAGGCTCAAAGATTTCATCCGTTTGGTTCTCTCAGGCCAAGCCTCGATAGAGCAAATGGATGTCAGAGATGCTTGGGAGATCTGACCATCCTTGTTTTCCGTCATCTTTTATATAAAGGCCGTCAGATCGTGGTGGAAGCAAAGTTCTTCACAGTTGGGCCTCTGGGCTCTCGGTAAAGCTCCCCAGAAGGAAACCTACCTTCTTCACCCGAAAACAACGTGCGGTCATTATAGCTGCTGTATTTGGGGTATCTTTCAGTCTAAATACACCAATAATGACCATACATTGTATTCGGGTGAAGAAGGTAGTCCAATATTTTGCCCGTTTACAACTTTTCGGACACATGGTCATATTTAGGTTCTAACTATCACTTAGTCACCAAACAGCCATGGACGGGCAGACTACCGTCTTAACCCAAAAACAAGGTACATACCTTGTAGAACAAATTTTAGGGTGCAACTTTCCTAAGGCAAGGGGGAGGGGAGGAATAAAAAGTATATAGTAAATATGAGTAATAATATCACAAATAGAACACAGTCAACAGCTACCAGGACGGGGCTGCAGTGTGAAGTTTTTTTTTTTTTTTAAGGTTCTCAGAAATCGCTGCTAAATTTCTGAATAGAAGGTACCCTCGAATACAAGGTACGTACCTTGTATTCGAATATAAGGTAGATACCTCACATTCGAGGTGTACCTTTAACTGTTAAGTAACTCTCTCTCTCTCTCTCTCTCTCTCTCTCTCTCTCTCTCTCTCTCTCTCTCTCTCTCTCTCTCTCTCTCTCTCTCTCTCTCTCTCGCTCTCTCTGTGTGGCGTGCACTATCCACGCATGCACCTGCTTCGACAGGGGCGCTATGCTCTCTCTCTCTCTGTCTCACACACACACACACACAGTCAAACACACGTAGCGTTCAAACACGCACACACAGTCAAACACACATAGCGTTCGAATGCATGCCGGATCGTGAGCACGCAGCGCAGTCAATGTGTTCGGAGGTAACTTGAATACAAGGTACGTACCTTGTTTTCGGGTCAAGACGGTAGAGATCAGCACCGGCCTCCAGTGACTATCTCTATCTCCCCAGTATGCCCTTCAACATGCAGTGAGTCCCTTCCCTGCTGCCACGCCTCATTGGAGCTATATTCATTCTCGGAAAGCATGCACCTGGATGTAAAACTAGCCATATTCATGCTAGCATAGCAAAACATAGCATCAGTGGGGCCTGGCATTTAGATGTCGAGGCCAGGCAACCAAGACCCACAACTCGGGTGTAAATTCATCTCCACTGTAGCTAGAATCTATGGCATCCGTCTCAAGAATAGCCAGGATCTACGCACTCATCTCCAAAATACCCCGGATCTATGGGACTTGTCTCCGCAACATCCATCATCTATCTTTGGGGACTCACCTCAGCAATACCAAGGATCTCCGGACTCAGCTGAAAAATAGATATGATCTGTCGGACTCACCACAATAGCCCGTCTTGAGTTGGTAGGATCGAGCCGTAAGAACAGAAGTCCGCACGCGGCTCAGGCGATCAACCCGATTTTCGCAAAAAAAATTATCATCCCGCTGTCTGGTGGTCGTCCCAGTCTAGAAGCTTCGTACTCTTCCCCTTCTCGATACTCCTTCCCCGCTGCCTGTGCCGATGTCCTGCCACCTTCTGCACTATAAATCCACGCAGCCCCCCTTTCCTCTCCTTCTCTTTGATCTCAGCTGCAATACCGCGTGAACTATGTGCGAAGACCGCGGTGCTGTGAAGGCTCGGCATGCCAAAGCACGGGCGGAGTGACGGCGTGGGCTGAGTCTAGCGGTAGCATCGGTAGATCGTAGTTGGAGGGACAGAGCAGTGGTGGAGGATCTATGTAAGGTGAGAGGGTGCAGTCACATGATGAGCCTCAGTGGCTGATCTGCCGCACGCCTCATAATAAGTGACTTGTGGGTCGTAGACGTGTGGTGATGATTGTTTCTTAAGCAAAGTTGAAGGAGACTCTGTTGCTTTTCTCGATCGCTGCTTGCGTGGTTCCCGAGTGCATGCTTGAAGACTGTGCTGTGTGCACGGCCTTGGTTGTGAGTGCCAAATGAATGTGTATGTGACTGTGAACGGTTATGTGCTTGAAGACTGCTCCGCAGCATGGTAGTCGATGTGAATGTGAACAGTGTGCGGTTCTTCCCTTGCGTGAGTCAATGACGATGGATGTGTGTCTGAAGCGCTGTCATTTTTGTATTGTATGGATGATGATAGAGATGTATCAGCACTGAGGAAACTCTGTCCTGTTTGCTCCCAATTGTGGTTCGAAAGTCCTCGTCCTTTGCCGTGTTGTGAAGCTGGTTCGGGTCCAATTACTGGGAATCCTAACTTAACTGCGTGAGCTCGCTCGGTGCGTGCATGAAGTCTATGTTCTCAACCTCAAGTCTTAACGAGGGCAACGGCCCATGTTCCAAACTCGTGTTGATCCACCATGGCAGCCTTCTGCAGTCCCCGTCGCAGATGGAGACTATCTACTGCAACGCAGATGCGAGAAGGTCCCTATTGTGAATCGACCTAATGGTCCTTCTCTGGCCAGCTACGCATGCCACATGGAACCCGCACTTTAACTGCCGATGGTGCAAACTAGGTAACTCGTGCTCATGGCGACGGTTGATGCTGGGATCCTAAGGAGCGGTCCGCTTCCCGGAGCATAGCCGTGTGGCTGGCGCACTTTCGGCGCGCTTCTGCGTTTCGGTTCCGCCAACTCGAACTAATTGAGGCAACCTTCCTTGACACGTGCTACCCCCTCATGTCCAATTTCAGCTGGCTATATGCTTTTTGCTTTTTGTTGCAGCCCTTTTCATTAAGTCCTTCAGGGCAACAAGGGATAACTTTGAAAAACGAGTCTTTGTGAGTTTCTATTTCCTTCTGTTACTGTTTTGTCAGGATGACCTTTGGACTGCCACGGGAAATTCCAGTTTTGCCCTGGGATATCACCCCCTTGCCCAAAATCCTCGGCCACGCCCCCCCATTCTGATCGATGTTTCCCCTACGTTTCGGTACGAAGCGCCGCTGCACGCGGCGTGAGGTTGCCTATCAGAACTAAACTTCCAGAACAGCCAGAATCTTTGCAACTCAACTCCACAACAGCTAGCACCTATGGGAGTCATCTCCACAATCAGCAGGATCGATCAGATGAGCCAACCAAATTAGCTATCATCAAACCATGATGGGCATGAGAGCAAGGCAAAACAAACCAACAACCCCCACTAGAGAAGAAAGGGAAAGAAAAAAGAAGAAGAAGAAGAAGAAGAAGAAGACCCAAAAGCAAGATTCACGCCACAAACGGAGAGGATTAGAACACAAAATCACCATTTTGTCTATCAGACCATGTCGATATAGCAACACACCCTTGGTATATAAGTACTCCAAACATGATATGAACCCTCAAATGTGTCCCCCAATAATCTCGAGAGGCAGCAGAGAGGGAGAGGGAGGGAACCCACATCATCAGCAGCATATCAAGGCTCTATGTGCTAAGCCCTCTGGTGCTACATCCATGCCGCGGAGCTGAGTACTTAGCACAACTTTGGACGTAAAACTGGGCAGATTCATGCTATAAACATAGCACCAGAGAAACCGGACTCTGAACACCTATTACAACAATGTGTTGACCACTCAAGCCCTGTGAAGTATAGCAATTTCGGCTTGCAAGGTTCCTCCTTTTCTTCAATATTCAAAAACAAAAAAAAAAAAACAAAGAAACAGGAAACCTGCGACCTGCTGAGTACAAATCACGCCAATAATACAACATTTTCTTCAGCATAATCTGCCAACTGTTAAGGGTGGGTGGTTATCCTTCAAAAAGTAGAGAGGGGGGAGAGGAGGGGGAGGGGAACACAAGAAATGGAAGACGAAGAAATGAGGAAAAGAATAATTATTTAAATAAACAGAATGACAGATATCATTCAGTATGAACAAAGCAGACTCACTGTTAGTTCTTTGTACGTTCGTTCTGCAGACTCCAACTTCACAATTAAAAAAGGTTCCTGCAAAATTAGATGAGAGGAGGAAAAGACAAAAACAAGAACAACAGCGCAACAAATAGATGGTAAATTGTCTGCCTTCCAAGCAGGGGATATGGGTTCGATTCCCGTTATCTGCAATTGCGATTTGATGAAAAAAAAACTGAGATAAATAAAACGCGCGTATCAAAATTTAAAACTTGTTGACAAATCTTGGAAAATATTGGCAAACAAAAAAACTTACTCAAAAACAACAAAAGAAAAGATTTCGAAGGCTCCAAAAAAAACAAACAAGGCCGGTGAATTTTCACAAAAATTAAGGCTGGGATATTCGTCCGTTGACTCAGTTGCTTAACTCAGGCCAAAGGCTGACCCTTTTTTTTTCCTAATTTTTTTTGCTGGCCACTTGAAGCCGAATTGCGAATTGTGAGTCACAGATGACCAATTGCATAACAGTGATTGGGTTATGAGTTTTTACTTGCAGGCTTGCAGCCATCAATAGAGAAGCATGACTTCATTGACCAGGGTCGAGAAACTACAATTCACTTTTTCTTTTTTCTTTACCCTCAAACCAAAAACATTTGCGAG